TTAGATAAGTGAAACCCAAGTGCGGCTTGATGACTGCCTCCTGGGGCTGATAAGACATGAGATCTATACCATCCAGGTACTCATTGCACACTTTCATCATTCCTATATTTCTCAAGCATTTTCCCATGTGACCATGGTGGTTAGAGAATAAGTGGTAGACTCCGTTCTAGAGGCTACCAATCTGTCTTCTACCCAATTCATATAAATCACCTGAAACAATTATGCTAAGTTCCCAGGAATGGGTAAAGTTGCTTTTAGCTCAAAAGTATATGTGTATATATATATATATATGTATATATATTCATTCCATAGAAGATATTTTGCTTTGTAATTTGACATTTTGCACCTCCTATGTAATTCGGCCACAACAGGTTTTAAATTAGAAAAGGGGCAGTCATTTGGATGTCAGTACAAATGGCAAAAGTGGTTTCTGTGGCTCTTTATATTTCCATGAATGTATTAAGATTTAGCTTATATTTATCAAGGAAGCAACAAATTCAGAATTTGGCTAGTACAAAAGATAGTAATTTCAGGTTTTACTGTCATAAAGAAAATAACAAATAGTGCCTTCGATTGTTGATAAGGAAGCATTTATTTGAATCTCTACCCTAGGAGAAAATTGGTTAATTTAAGCTTTGTCTTTTCAGAAAAAGTGATAAATTTAGTTCATATGTTTACAAGGAAAGCAAGTATTGTAAAATCTGTTTGAATAAAAGTTATTCGTTTTTGTTTCTGGTCTGATAAGAAAATAACTTCTAAAAGTAAAACTTTTTAAGCACTTTCCTAGTCTATGACTAGCATTTGTTGGCTATACCTAACGGTTATTTCAGATGATGATAAGCCTCAAGCCCCCCCTTGGGTGTAGTCTCCAAAACTGAAGATATGAGTAATATTCTTCAGGTTCCAAATAGAATAGTTTCTTCAGGCCCCAGGTACAGGGAAAGAGTTTAAAATTTTACATATAGTTTGCTGTTCCAGTCGCTCACTAAGAAAGTGTCCACAGACGTGTGGGTGCTTAGTTCTAAACCAGGTTTAGATCTGTCACAGAATGAACAGCTTTTGGTTCTGTGTTTCATAAAAGTGGAGACAAATTTCAAGAGAAAATTTATGCTTTTAATTTCAGGTTTGCAGCTGCTTCCAGGCCAAAAGTTTTTTTTTGTTGTTGTTGGGGGAAACACCCTGAGTTGTTCTTCAAGGGTTACGCCTGGCTCTCAGTGATTACTCCTCGAGGTGCTGAAGGACCATTTCTGGGAATCAAACCTAGGCCAGCTGCATACAAGACAAACAGCTTACCCACAGTACTATTTCTCAGGCCTACAGATTAGTTTCCAACCCCACCCTAGACTCAGTTGCTAGGGATGGAGAGAAGTACAGTTTTCAAGCTTTTAGAATGGTTTCGGCTCTGTGTCCTGTTGTTGGAGAAGCAGAGCCTCCAAGAGATAGTTGTCAGGAGGGGGATTTTTACTGACCTCATCTCAAAAATGTGTTCTTGAAAAAGGGTGTTGCTTTGGAATCTACCCTCCATGGAGGTGTTATTTAAGAGGGGTAACTCTGCCCTTAACTTTAAGGTATCTTCTGTTCTGAAAAGCAAAAAACTTTAGGCTCCAAATACAACAGACAAAGGGATATTTTCTTTTTTTTAATTTTTATTAGTGAGACATCATGAGGTACAGTTGTAGACTTACAAATTTTTGTGCTTGGGTTTCAGTTATACAATGATCAAATACCCATCCCTCCACCAGAGCTCATTTCCCACCACCACGAATCCCAGTACCCCTAGCACCCCCCATCTTCCCATCCCACCCTGCCTCTGTGGTAGAGCATGGCATGGAGGCCAGCCACACGTGCTAGGGGAAAAGGGAGCTCAGATAGAGAAGGGAGCACCAAATAAAGGGTGTTGGGAGGATCCTCCCAGGGTGGGAGAAGCATGCTGATAGTAGACTATAGACCAAACATGATTGCCACTCATTGCCTCTTTTGCAAATCACAACACCCAAAAGGAGAGAGAGAACAAAAGGGATGTTTTCTAGTCACAGTCCTTCATGCTCCAGGCTGTCAAGACCTTTCACAATTATGTGTATTTCTTGGCATACTAGGAAGCAGGCAGTTTCTTTGCTTTGCCTTCAGAAGAAAATTCCAGAACATGTTAAAAACAGCAGGGATATTATGGTCAAAAAATAACTTATTATTTACAGTATCAAAGCACCCATTTGCAAAGCTTTTATTGATATGAATAGGGTATGGCACATATATCCAAGCTGAGTTTGAAGCTCTGTCAAAGAAAAATAAGACCTGTGTAAACATCATATTACAAGCATCAATGAAAGCATTGCAAACATTAATGAAAGTGGAAAGCTTTGGAGAGAAATAATTATGAAGAAGTAAGAAAGTAAGGAAGAAATGCAGGATCAAGAAAGTAGTCGGAAGGCTATAGACCTAACATGATGACCACTTAATACCTCTACTGAAAACTACAACACCCAAAAGGAGAGAGATAGCAAAAGGGAATGCCCTGCCACAGAGGAGGGTTGGGGTGGAGGGGACGTGGTGTGGGTGGTGGGAGGAATGCTTGGATCATTGGTGTTGGAAAATGGGCACTGGTGGAGGGATGATTATTGACCACTGTATGACTGAAACGCAAGCACAAAAGTCTAAGTCTGTAACTGTACCTCATGGTGATTCACTAATAAAAAATTTAAAAAAGAAAGTTGTAAAAAAGTGAAGAAAGAAAGGAAGAAAGAAAGAAAGAAAGAAAGAAAGAAAGAAAGAAAGAAAGAAAGAAAGAAAGAAGAAAGTAGTCAGAAGGAAGTACCTCCATCTAAATCATCGAAGGTAACTAAAGAATTGTCATGTTCAGTCAGTGCTTTTTCCCAACCAGAGCAAAGAGAACTTCAGAAGACAATTGGACAGAGGATTCCAAAGTTCCAAGATGTCAGGTTACAAAAGAAAATTAATACTCAAAATTCTGAAAATAAAAGTCTGCACTGTTTGGAAAATTTTAAAAATAGATCTATTATGATTTGCTCGAGTGGGCCCAGTAACGTCTCCATTGGAGATTTTGTTGTTACTGTGTCTGGCATATCGAATACTCTCGGTAGCTTGCCGGGCTCTCCGAGAGGGGCGGAGGAATCGAACTCGGGTCGGCCATGTTGGCCGCTTGTAAGGCGAACGCCCTACCGCTGTGCTATCGCGCCCGCTCGAGCAAATCGCTCGAGATCTATTATATTAATAAGAAATGTAGCTTGTGATAAAATAGTCATACTAATTTCACAGCAGCTTATTTTAATCACAAGTGCTAATTTTAGTGGAAAAAGAATCAGGAATTGAGTATTATAGTCAGAATATTTTAATAATTCAAAGTCATCCAATTTAATTTTTTATGACCTATATAAGACCATTACAAAAAAGCAGACATTTCAATTGATTTGAACTATATTGAATTAATTGCTTTTGTATCCACAAAGTGAATGATTTACAGCTGTTTACTTAATCTCCTGGATATTTCTTTAACAATGTACTAGAACATAAAAACAGAACTTTCTAACTTTATGCTTAAATATGGTAACTGAAAGTATATTTGTATAAAAGATACTAAAGAGAAACTTGACATTAGAAAACCAAATTCTGAATGCTTGTTGTTTGATTTTTTTTTATAAAACACCACTGATGTCTCTTGGTTCAAAATGGTCAGCAACATAAAATACAAACACCAAAGTAGAATGTGAAAGTCTTTTTTGATAGGTGGGGCCATACTTCGCAGTATTCAGCAATCACTCTTGGCTATGCTGGGGATTATGCAGTGCTAGGGATTAAATTTGTCAGCAGCATCCAAAGCAAGCATCCTGCCCTTTACTTTCTTTTTAACCTAGTTTTTGCGAAGCCTTTTTTTCCTTTCTTGCCCCTTTAGGTTATAATATAACTCAATTTCAGTGGACTTCCTACGATTTCCCCAAACACTGTATTCACTTTGTTCACACCACTACTACTTAATGTCTTTTATCCACTTCAGCAAATCCCTATTATTCAAAACTCGTTCAAAATTTACTTACTTTAAAGTGTATTTCACAAGATGATCTCTCCATTTCCACATCAACCTTGCACATTTGTTTCATCACATTTATGTTACAAATACCCGTTTATAAATATCTTCCACTAAACTGTCAGCTATTTTTACCTTTAGCATCTAGACACATTAGCATTTCCTCAATAAAAGCGTGGTGAATGCAAAAATTGGAAAGAAAAAGTTTGTCATTAGAAAATGCAGAGTTAATGCAAACTCAGATTCAAATGCTTTTAATATCCAACTTAAAATTTGCTGCTTGGAATTGTCAACAATGGGATTAGATGGCAAAAATTAATGCTGAAAAGTTCAATATCAGAAGAAGAAAAATAAGTCCTGGAAAGGGAAAATCTATCTCTTAAAAGGAAACACTTGAATCTACAGGAGTTGAACACCAAATTCAGTTATTTATTTATTTTTAGTTATTTATTTATTTATTCATCTAAACCTATGCATGACATTCCAGGCTCTTCTAGGCCTGGTTCCATCCTGTATATTATATTTTAGTCTCCACCACTCATTTTAATGTGTAAGAATACTCTTCAGTAAACAGAATCTTTTTCTCATAAAATATTTCTTCTTAACCATTACTCTTAGGACTTTCGGCTTCTGCTCAAAATGTACAACTGCTACTCTCCCCATGCAGTGTTCTGTGATTTCCCACCTAGACTTATGATACACCTTTTTTTAAAGTCCCACCTCCCACTTTTGACTTTATTTAAAACCATTGTTTTAATTTTTTTAATTTTTATTTTGGGGACACACCTGACAGTGCTCAGGGCTTGCTCCTGGCTCTACTCTCAGGGATCACTCCTGTCACACTCTTAGGACCGTATAGTATGCGGAAGTGGCTGCATGCAAGGCAAACACCATTACTGAAGCAATACTTATATAGTAGGCTTGACAACTTCAGGAATTAATGAAAGTTGATCAGGACATGAGTAGGCACAGTAAGGGTACAGTGTTGCAGAAAGAGATCAATAGTAGTTCACAGGTCAAAAAGGGAGGTCATCACATCTGGTTGACTCATGCTCTGTTGGATGCTCTCCCTCCGAAGTGTGGCTAAGGCACGAGTCTCTTCCTGAAAGCGGCGGTGTCCCTCCTCAGTAAGTCTCCAAAGTCCAGGTCTTGGCTTTGTGTTAGTCTCATCCTGAAGGCTGACTGGGGACTTCTCAAAGCTACCCAGGAAGCAGAGATTGTGTCGGATGGTGTTTTTCCAGCCTTGTGGAGCTGTCCAGAAAAAGGGGAAATGTTTTCGGGTGAAATTGTAGATTTGTTGCACATTAAGACCACAAGGAGGACTGTTTCTTAATGCTAGGGAAATTAGATGACTGTAATTGAGGGGTGGACGGGGCCAGGGCCTCTGTTCCTGGCCATTACCTTGCCATAACTTTTGGATCTGTAAGCACTCCCCTTTGTTAGTTGATGGGAGAGTCACAGAGTACTTATCATCTTGTTCTTCAGTTTCCTCTTCTGTGAGCTTCCAGTTGCTGGGAAAAGTGAAATGTTGTTCACTGGAGCAAGAGGGAAGGGACTGAATCACTATGGTCTCAAAGCAAATAGATTCCTTTGGGAGCGGTCGAGGTGACGAAGGTATTCTTGTCAGATCCCTTTCCTTATTAGGTTTTGGGACTTCTTGGCTGCCAAGGGAGCACACGACACTGGGATTTACCCACATCCATAGGTTTGGTTCAGAGTCAGGACCATCTTTGTCAATATTAGTTTTTTTCCCTTGGGTCACCTTTGGGGGCTCCATTACCCGGACTCTGTATTTGACAAGGTTTTGCTCAGTTAAAGGGTATTGGTCTGATGTGCAGGGCAGAAATAATTCATTCCCCATGTCCCAGTCCAGCATCCCTGGGACATTGCCATGGAGTGTGTACCAGAACTCAGTATTTTTTAGTTTTAGGTCCATCTTTAGTGGACACGTAGGTGGAATGAGACTTCAAAAAGACAGATTTCTTAAGCACTTCTCAAAACTCTCGCAGGAGCATGATCTAGGTAGCTGATGAGGTGGCCTATTAGAGAAATATTAGGAAAAGAGTTACCAATAATTCACAGATTAGTGGGAAGTACTGCTGATCATAGATAATTAGTGTCTCATAGATAAGTCTCTAGGTAGAGAAACCTATTTTATAGAACAAAGAAGTCACTAAAAAGAGTTTTCTGAAGGAAAAATGGTTCAAGGTGAAATGCCTTAGTTTCTATTGAAAATAGAGTATTCCCTTATTAGAACTTAAAACTTTGAATTGTGCATAAGAGAAAGCAACTAGCATAGCATGTGATGGTATGCCATATCTTCAAAGTCTTGCTGGCTTCCTTTAATGGAGGAATAAATACATGGAGAGAGTATGTTATATTTCTGAGTTATATTTTAATGGTTTAAAATTATTTAACTTATTATTTTATTATAAAGTGCCTTTAGTCAAGCGATTTCAGGTTGTTGGCTGTGACTGATTCTATTGGCAGTCCTGTAAGATAGCATAGTGGATATTATTAACCCAATTTTATGCATAAAAGAACTGAGAGAAGAACGGAACATTTATGACCACATCTAAATTAAGTAGAAGAATTAGACCATAGCTTTTGTCTTCCAAACCTTTAATTCATACTCACTGCCTCTTAGGCAACTTTAGTGTATTGTATAAAGAATATAGAGATATGTGTAATCCAAATCTCGGAATAAAATGGCAACTGTTAGAATGTGATCATTGCTTCCTTTTCCTCCTTGGTAATCACCATAGTTTTCATTGAGTCTATGCATTAGCTTCATTGTTTCTTGGCAGTTTTCAAAATTGAATTTTTGACCAATGTATTATGATTAAAACTAGCTTATTATGTAAATGACTATTAGTCCATAATAATAGTTAAACATTTTCTTTTGTTTTGATGTCACTCCTGCTCTGTGCTTAAGGATCACTTGGGTGGGGGAGAGGGTGTCAGAGGATCATATGGTGTTGGGGATCAAACTCAGACCAACTGTGTGCAGGGGAGTGCTGCATGACTAACTTTACTATTTATCCAACCTCGATACCTAAACATTTTTTCAAAATTATTTGAAGAACTGTGATTTATAAAGTTATTAATGGTTGAGTTTTAGGCATACACTATTTCAACAGATATGTACAAGGCTACTGCCCTACAAGTTGCACTATAGCTCTGTCACTGGTAAGGTATATATCCTCAATTAAATTATAGTACATATTGATTTCTAGTATTTTTTGACACATAAAAAGTTTCATTAAAAAAGATTGGCAGCTGGAGAGATAGTACAGCGGGTAGGGCTCTTGGCCTTGCACCTGGCCTACCTGAATTCAATCCCCGGCATCCAATATAATTCTCCAAGCACTGCCAGGAGTAATTCCTGAGTGTAGAGCCAAGAGTTACACCTGAGCATCGCTGGGTGTTACCCAAAAGCAAATATATATATATATATATATATATATATATGATATTGTAAAGGGAATGTGCTTATTAAATTTATGCATATAACAAATGGAAATCATATTGGACCCAAAAGAGGACTTTTAATTACTTTGCATCAAATGCATATTTAACTTAGAAATTTTGAGATTCAATGTAAACACCTACTTTGGCAGCTGCCGTCTGAGCTAAGAAAAAAGAACGCAGCTGACCAAAATTAAAAGCGTTACAGGATGTAAGTGCTTCAACAGTCTAAACTTATTGAGGCAAAGCACCTATTTATAATTTTTACAGTGTTCGGAATTGATCTGAAAGCCAATAACCCGTACTCATTGCCACTTACTGTGTGTTTCATCCTTTAGAATTCAACCTGAGATTCTGGGCATTGGAAGAAAACTTTCTAAAAGACAAAATAAAACAGAAAAACAAATACAACCTGGTTGAGATGGCTACATTTTAAGATAAATTTCATAACATTCAATGCAAAATTAAAATCCGGTTCTTAAAATAAATATTAAATGATTTTTCAGGAACATCCAGATTACAAAGAGATTAGACTCAGGATCTAGAGAATATTTCACACGATCTCACTTTTTGTTCTCAAAAAGACAAATCACATTAACATGCATGTAGTAATTGCATATTTTAGACATTTAATGGCACAGAGATAGCACACACTTTAGTAAACCTCTCTCTTTTACTACAAATATACAAACAATAATGAGAAAAATTACATAGAAAAGCAGAGCATGGAAGATAGTCAAGTTTAATAGAACACAAAGAAAATATCTTTGGGCCAGAAATATAAAGAAGTGAGTGAAAATAAAGTAATTGGCTTGCTGGTTTCTGGATTATCAAGGAGGAACTCGAAATAAGAAATTTTATTTCTTTAGGAAAAGGAGACCAAAGATCAGGGACTGTAACGAGTTGTAAAAAGGAGTGGAAAATTATTACTGTCAAACCAGGATAAACTATATGTCTGAGAAAGTTGGCAGGTGGGCTGGAGCCATAGTACAGTGTGTAGGGCACCTGCCTTGCATGCAGCAGATTCGGGTTCCATTCCAGGCACCATAAAAACTTTTTAAATACCCGGGACTTGGATTCCACCGTGCAACCCCCGAGGCGTCCCCTAGACACCAGGAGACAAAGCAGATCTGAGCCACTTTGCCTATCCCTTTCTGCCGCCCAAGCCGAGCTGGTCTCTGCTCCCCAACCCCCAGGTCAGTTTTCGCGCCGTTTCTCCGACCTGGGACTTGGATTCCACCATGCAAGCCCCCAGGCATCCCGCAGACGCCGGGAGACAAAGCAGATCTGAGCCTCTCTGCCTCTCCTTTTCTGCTGCCCAAGCCGAGCTGGTCTCTTCTCCCCACCCAGTCTTTACTCCCGGGACACACACCAGGTATCTGTGGGGGTGTGGCCACTTTAGAAGTGGGCGTGGCTTTTAAAAAGTGTGCGTGGCCTAATTTTCAGCTGGCCAAAGCTCACGCGGCCACAGATAGTTTACTCAAATCAAGAAATCTGACCCCTACACCTACACAACAACATGAAGAAACAACGCAAATCCCCGTCACAGGAAGACGATGAGGAAATAAGTCCAGAAGCCTCAGTAGGTGCTAGCCACCTTAGGGACCTCTCTGACAAGGAATTCAGATAATAAGTCATTAAGATGTTCAATCAACTCAATGAAACAGTCAGACAGATATCTGCTAAATTGAAGGCGGACATGAAAGAAACACTCGATCGCACAATTGACAAAATACAGCAAGAAATGAGAGCGGAAATTGGGAAGCTTTGCACAGAAATGGCACGGATCAAAGATTCCATAGATGAAATAAAAAACTCACTCTGTGCCGTCAAAAATAGAATGACCACAGCTGAGGAAAGAATCAGTGAGCTGGAAGATCAGCTCCACCAAGCCAACACGCAACAACAAACAGTGGCAAAGGACCTCAAAATAGCTCTATAGAGAATCAGAGTCCTAGGAGAAGATTCCAAAAGAAACAACATGAGAATCATTGGACTACCAGAAGCTCAGGGAAACAATCCCAATGAGAAAACCATGGTTAAACAAATCATCACCGAGAAATTCCCAGAGCTCCACAATACAGCCATTCAGATTCAAGAAGCCTGAAGGGTGCCAGCTAAAAGAGACCCTAACAGAAACACTCCAAGACATATTATAGTTAGAATGATCGAAGCTGCTGATAGAGACACAATACCGCAAGCAACAAGGGCAAAAAAAGGAAAGAGATCATAAAACTTAGAGCAGAAATCAATGACATGGAAACCAAAGAAACAAGCCGAAAGATCAATGAAACCAAGAGCTGGTTCTTTGAGAAAATAAACAAGATAGATAAACCACTAGCAACACTCACAAAGAAACAGAGAGGGAGAACCCTAATAAACCGAATCAGAAATGAGAAGGGGGATATCAAAACAGAAACCAAATAAATCCAAAAGATCATCAGAGACTACTTTGAAAGTCTGTATGCCACGAAACAAGAGAACCTAGAAGAAATGGAAAAATTCCTGGACTCCTATAATCTCCCAAAGCCGAATCAAGAAGATCTGGAGTATCTGAATAGACCTATTAACATCAACAAAATAGAAACTGCAATCAAAAGTCTTCCCAAAAACAAAAGCACAGGTCCAGATGGATTCACTAGCGAATTTTTCCAAACATTTGAAGAGGACCTGCTGCCATTCCTTCTCAAGCTTTTCCAGGAAATTGAAAAAAACGGAAACTCTCCCAAACAGTTTCTATGAAGCCCATATCTCTCTAATACCAACAGGAAACAAAGACACCACGAGAAAAGAAAACTACAGGCCGATATTCCTGATGAACACATATGCGAAGATTCTCAACAAAATATTAGCAAAGAGAATTCAACTACTCATCAAAAAGATCATACAACATGACCAAGTAGTATTCATCCCGGGGATGCAAGGCTGGTTTAACACTCGGAAATCAATCAACATAATCCACCATATTAACAAAAGAAAAGATAAAAATCATATGATCATATCAATATATGCAGAGAAAGCATTTGACAAGATCCAGCACCCATTTATGATGAAAACCCTAGCCAAAATGGGGGTAGAGGGGACTTTCCTCAACTTAGTTAAAGCCATCTACCACAAGCCTACAGCAAGCATCGTCCCCAAGGGCGAAAAACTGAGAGCCTTCCCTCTAAGATCAGGGAAGAGACAAGGATGTCCACTCTCTCGACTGCTGTTCAATATAGTACTGGAAGTACTTTCAATAGAGATTAGGCAAGAAAAAGATATTAGGGGCATCGAGATAGGAAAGGAAGTAATCAAGTTCTCACTATTCGCAGATGATATGATACTATACTTAGAGAATCCTAAAGCCTCTACCAAGAAAGTTCTAGAAACAATAGGCTGGTATAGTAAAGTGGCAGGCTATAAAATCAATACCCAAAAGTCCATGGCTTTCCTATATGCAAATAGTGAAAGAGAAGAAAGTGACATGAAGAAAACAATCCCATTTACAATTGTGCCCCAGAAA